CACACACACACACACACACACACACACACACACACTAGTGTTGTTTCATTGTAATCATGGAAAAATGTGAATTTTGGGTTACTTTTTTAAATCTGAAAATTGGGGATTTTTATTTTTAATCAGAAAAAAACCCCCAAGGATCCCTCATGATCAGTATCCAGAATGGTAAAATACAGACCACCATATATAAGAAACTCATGGACCAACATACATATCTGCACAGAACCAGCAATCACCCTAAACCAGGGGCCATTCAGCTAGATGGCCACTTAATGAGTTTTGGTGAGTTGTCAAGGGCCACAAGGGTAGCTCGCCCCTTGACAGTTGCCCTGCTCCCTGGCCACCATTTTGGGACAAGAAGTCCCACCCCTAACCCCTGACCTGTGCCACCGGATGTCCCTCCCTTTTCCCCAGAAGTGCTCCTTTTGTGGGGAGAGTTGCTATCTTGAAACTGGAAAAAAAAACAAATTATATACTAAAAAAAAAAAATCGAATGTCTACTATAACTTATTTTAATTTAAAAAAGATTTTTGTCCTGATTTATGTGCGTTTGCATAGTGTATCTAAAGGCAATTGCATCATAGCTCAAAATACAGTCTTACTCTTGTTTATTGTGTGTGGTAGGGTGTGGGTGTGTGTGTGGGGTATTGTGGGGGCTGTGGGGTTATGGTGGGGGAGTGGCATGGATGACTGGTGCTGCCGGCGGGGGGGCATGCACCCTCCCCAGTCGCTGACTGGTCACTGGGAGTCCCCTTGCAGCTGATCCCATTGATAGGAGGGTTCCCCTCCGCCTTTTCTGATCACGCCTGCTCCCCTTGCCTGGCACCTAAGCAGCAAGTGTGGCCAGTCAGGGGGTGTACTGGCAGTCTCAAGGGGTGCATGTGCCATTGGGGAGTGAGAGTGTGTGGGGGGGCTGTGGGAGGTTGTGGGTGTGTTTGGGGGGGGTGCTGGGGTCCATGACAGTCCCTGGAGCTGTATGTGCTGGCAGCGACCGGGGCCAGCCCTGTCTGGCCCCAAGCAAACCGCTCCTGTGCTTTCACCTGAGTTCCCGGCTGCAGGTGGTACAGGGCCAGCCAGGCCCCACAGCATGTAGCTCCTGGGCTTCCACCCCAGTCCCTGGTCTCATCTGCTGGCAGCATGCAGGGCAGCCCCACCTGGCCCCATAGTACACGGCTCCCCACACTCCCACCCCTTTCCCCAGTAGGAACCCCTGGCCCCAGCCCAGTGGGGCCTCGCCTAAATTCTCCATCTCAGAAGCAGGGAGGGCTGCAAAAAGCTTTGAGGTGGCCAGGAAAAGACTGCCAGGCAGAGGCTTCTAGTCTCTAGCACCCCCTGACTCGGGGCTGGGGCAGGTCAGGCCAAGCTGGGGTGATTGTTTAGCAACCAGAGCTTCCTGCAGGGATGTGCCGCTTGTAGAGGGTCAGCCTAGGGACAGGGTTTATGAAGGAGCCCTCTGGGCTGGATGGAGCTGCCTGGCAGGCCGGATCTGGTCCCCAGGCTGTATTTTGCCCACCCCTACCCTAAACATATCAAGAAAGCTGTAATATATAGCCAAGCCCTCTGATACCAACAAATTTGCACTGAGGAGAACACACGTGATCGTCACCTCACAAATCCCAAAAGGGCTTTCACCCAACAAGGACACTCCTCCAGAGGGATAGATCGTATGTTTGAAAGAGCCACCCAGATACCACGTAAAGAACAGCTGCCATACAGAAGAAAAACCCCCATGAATTGCACACCTCTGGTTATGACGGATCATCCCTCCTTGGAACCTATATGAAAAATCCTCAAACAACTGCAACCCGTACTAGACGAAGATCCCATTCTTAAAGAGCTCTTCCCAGAACCACCCATTCTAGACTTCAAACACCAAACTTCACCAACCACATCCCCAGAATCAAACTTCCTATGGCCCAAAACACACCGAATGGATCCAGACCATGCCATGACAAGAAATATGAAACCTGCCAACACATCTCCACCACCCCAACAATTACTACACCCCACAACAGAGCCATCAGCATTCCTGGATCTTACAGCTGCACCTCCAGAAGTGTTGTATATCTCATCCAGTGAACCAAGTGCCCTGATGGAAAATATGTAGGAGAAACCAAACAACAACTGCAATGTGGAAAGTGAATCTCTTTCACTCAGCAGGCTCAGTTCTGCTCTCAGTTCCATGGGGTGCAAGGGAATGGGACTTCCTACCATGTAACAGAGAGAACTAGATTGCATTGTATTTCTGAAGTACTTTGTAAATTTACTATTCTTCCTGCTCGGTTATTTCAGCTGTACCAGCTTCAAAAAAGGAGAGTGTGACAGAGTTCAAATGTAAGAAACAGAGAAATGTTAAAACCTTGGTAAATAGGCAGAAGGCAGGGACTTTTGCTGGTAGATATAGTCTAAAGACATAGATAAAAACTCTGACACCCACAAGGACTCTCTTTCCCAGTGGACAGAGGAGGACTGCTTTCCCCTTTGACTCTCAGACTTACCTGCGTGCTTGTCCAAAGTATTCCTCCTTGGTTTCTTCGTTCAGTTTGGCCATGGCCTGGTTTCAGGGTCTGAATACATATAGCATCTCTATAAGGTTAGCAGGCAGTAGGGTCCAGCAAGCACAAGGAGGCATGTATTTTACTCCTAGATGTGCCACTGACTGTTTTGTAACTCTTGCCAATTCACTTTGTCTCTGTGCCTCAGCTTCCTGTCTGCAAAATGCCAGTGGTAAAGCTGCTGCTTGGCCACATTTGTAAAGTGTTTGCAAAGTGCCCATACCTGTGCTGCCCCAGGGGCAAGCTGGGGGTGCTGGCAGCCAAAGAAGGCAGCAGGGACAGTACACAGGGTGCTGGAAGCCCAGGTGGGCCCAGGGAAGTGTTGGATCAGGTGCCTCTGAGCTGAGGCAGCACCTGGTCAACTAGCAGACCACCCAGGCTTCCAGTGCCCCATGCATCATCCCCACTACCCCCTCCAGCTGCCAGCAAACCCAGCCATCCTCCTGCCACCTTCCCACACTGCCCCAGGGCAAGCCAACCTGTTCCTGGGCAGCTCCAGGCATCCTGCTGGCTGCAGGAGCCTGCTGAAAGCAGAAGCAGCGAGGTACCCGACACTTTTTTGGGGGGCGCAGGGGGCAGAGCCTGTCCACCTCTACTGTAGCTGGGGAGTGAGCTGCAAGATTAGTGGCACAGATTAATGGCCCCCAGCCACAGGAGAAGTGGGCAGGCTCCACCAAAAAAAAAAAAAA